CAGCTAAAGGTGACATAGATACTTTATTATGGTATAGTATTTAAATGTATGCCTGAGAAACACATAATATTGCCCCTTTAAGACCCGAAATGGAGACACTGGACGTGTATTTGTTGGATACAGTCTGAATGCATTAAGCTGTAAAAAGCGTCTGCAGATTGTACAGTTTAACACTAAACAGTCCTCATCACTCACCAGGTCCTGGGTGGAGCTGAACTTTTCTGAGCGGAGCAGGATGTAGTTCCAGCCGATGAGCAGAAGCAGGAAGAGGGGCAGCATGAAGAGCTCCCAGTGCCACACCGACACCAGGAAGATCTGAGGAGACAGGAGATGACAGAACTTACTTCAAACTGTCGCGCTGCAGCAACTCTCAGCCAGCTTTCCAATCTCAGCAAAACTGCTCCCAAAAACAAAATCTTTAATGGATTTAACCACATCCTAGATYTCACACGGAGAACTACAGCATTGTAAAGCCTCAGATTTATCGCCAGTGGCAACAGATTTTACTCCTGGCGGTTTGAAAGTAAAAGACATTCAACTTTTAATATCTTGAAATCCCATTTGCAGTAGCACTGTGCTGGCAGCGAGCCGTACAGCTGAACAGAAAGTAAGACATGGATAGGCATGATAGGCTGTCTTTTAACTTGCACATCAAATCCTCTTAGATTCGGAGGAAGAGACGCTCTCTGGCGAAGCACATATGGCAACTGGAGAAGCATTTGCAACATTTACCCCCTCCGTGGTGGCGATACTGAGAAGAGTCAAGACCCCTGGTAGAAATAAGATGGCTCACGCTGAATGAGTAATCCCTTATAATTCTGTAAAGGAGTGGTGCTAAGCACATTGCACAACACCCACTGCATTTCACAGCAGAGCGCTAATTGGACGGCTGCATTTAAACCCATTTACTGACAGCCTAATGAGTCTGTCTCTAACCGAAATTATCAGAAACGTGTGTGTGTGGTGGGAAGGGGGAGGTGGGTGATCACACTTGCAGGTTGACAGGGATGAATAAAAAAAGTCCCCCACAGTAAGCTAAATCTTAAAATCTATTATAGTGTGAATAAGTGCCAATACACCAACATATGGTCTACTTTTATATAGACATCCTGGTTCAACTTTTTTCTTATTTCAGACTAATTTTCCATCATTACTGCACCCTYTGTCACAGTTACAGACTTGCCTGATAAGTTTATTTTAAACGTGGAACATATTCCTATGTTAAGCACATACTGCGTAGTTCAGGTTCGAAGAGCTTGAGGGTGCCCCAAGTACAAACAATATGTCTGAGTTAAACCTGAGACAGAATGTGAAGCTCCAAGGCCTTCCGGCTYCGAGAGCAGGACTGTAAACAGCAGACTGCTCCTGTCATAGTAACAACAGAGTCTGTGCATTTTGCTCTGGGGGGGCAGTCTACCTACTGCCACACCACGCCCAGGTTCAAGCAGCCACCAGGGAAATGTGTACCATGAGTAATACAGACAACACCATGATCCACTGCCCTAGGCATCACCAGTGCAGAGCTTATTATCCCTGTGTACAACCTGTGAACGGCTGGGTGAACATAAGCATCACACAGGAACAGAGTGGGATCACTAAGATGCAAGGAAACGGACAATGTGCACAATATGCTATGGTTAATAAGAGCTCGTTTGAATTACGGCAAATAACTAGAGCTGGTGAGGGCCAAAAAGGTAAACAATGAATATGCATGATGTTCAGAGATAGCTGCAGTGCATWTCCTCTCTGTTATGAATAACTTACGTCATGTGTTGTCACCTCAGTTCCCATGAGGCGATTCTAAAGCGACTCTCCCCTCACCCCAGAGGAATTCTGCTGGCTCGTGGACAGGTAGCTTGTCATATTCCCAGTATTCTCATAAAAAAAAGGCAAAAAGTACAGTGGTGAGGGGGGAGTGCGCCTGCAAACTGACATGAGCCCAGCAGGAATGCTGAACCTCCTTGCCCTCCCTGCACAAGCTGCAACATTAACCACTAAAGTCTAATTGCTTGGTCTCTGTCTTYCTGCGCAAGTCAACAGAGGGAGCCAATTCATTTCTGCCCAGGGAGCCAGCAGAGAGAATCTGTCACAGGTATTCATAATCGCCCACTAATGCAAATTTCTGCTCACCGCGTTCTGGCTCAGTGGACAAGATAAAAGCCTGCAGAAATACAATGCCTTGTGTCTAAACTGAGTGCTTAAATGAGGCTATAAACCAAAACTGTCAGAAATATCTTCTCAATTCCTCCCTCATGGTATGTCAAATCCATGTGTTTAGGATTTACATGCTTTTTTAACAGAAAAAGGGAGGAAAACATCTGGGGGAAACCTCACAGATTCCTTCACTCAGGTGCACAGACTGAGACTTTAGCCGTCAGATATCCTACGATAATGAGAAGAGGCAAGACTACACCATTCACTTGTCTCCTCATGGTCTGCAGAGTTTCTGGGAATTTTAGACAGAGCTAATCACTCATAAAGGGCTTTAAGTTTTGTTAACAAGTGACTGAGTGATTAAAAGACATGTTAAACAAAGCACAACCTTATAGTGTAAATTGGAATAAAGACACAAATGTCATCAGTGATGGGCCCCACTTAAGGATGCACCGATTGCAGTTTTCTGGCCGATCACCAATGTTTAAAAAAAATCTGATACTGATTTTTAAATAAATGATACTATTATTGAACAATACCTTTGAAACAATACAAACTTGTTTTAACTGGACATTGGACAGCGCTCAGAGTAGAGCAAAAGCAGACTGGATCATTTTCAGACCTTTGCAGAGGTAGATGACAAACCAATCTTTTCCACTGATCTTATCCAAGTATCCCCCAAAATTAAGGAAATAGGTGCACTGATAAACTGGCCTGCCAGTTTATCAGTGCACCCCAAGCCCTACTTTCAGTTCCAAATTTAAACTTTTTTATTAACATTATTGTGTGCAAATAACTTACAACAAAACAAGGCGAATAACCTGCCTGGTCATTTACTGCATTTAGGGGAGGAGATAATGCGACAAACCAAAGCAAATGAGGAGAAAATTAATAATAAATCTAAGTATTTTTTGTTTAAGCACAGCAGAAGTTGATAACGAGCATCTTTTAATTGAACAAGTATGTGTGTCTGGGAGGAGTGTTTTTAATGTAGGAAACCTCCCTTGACAAAACACAATTTAGCTGAAAAATGTCTGTATGATTATGCAAAGAGTGCCTTGGGGGTAAAAGAAGAAAATGAATTAATAAAACTATTAGCGCACGGTGGAGTAGATGATGGAGATGCACTCTCCTTAGCCACCTGTAAGCGCTTGGAGAAGGGGCCAACCCTGGGCAGAGCATTTCTGCCAGGAGGGTTAAGAACAGCCTGACAGATTTGTTTTATGATGCCATTAATATGATTCCACTAAATGCATTCCGCACCTTCTCGTGCAGATCCCCTGGCCAGCAGAATCCAGCACCTAATAATAAAGCACTCAGCGATTAAAAGTGTGAATAAAATAACTTAAAGCTGAGCAAGCATAGCGGCTCCCACCACCCACACTCTCCCAGGGGAGGAAGATGGGATCGTAGTGGGAACAAAGGGACAGAGACACCTTCCATAAAAGTTTCCACCATTCTGTAAATTGATTAACAAGGGGTGGCCTAAACTATGAACCTTAGCCAGCGACTGCCAGACGACTAGGCTGCCAAATAATCTCCTTTTACACCACAGCAAACAACGGGCTCAAATAAATAGGCATCACATCAGTATAACACAAATAATACTGTTGATGAGCCAAAAAAAAACAAAGTCACAGCACCTGGGGGGGAAATATTTTCATTACAGTTTGTGCAAAACAATATAATATTCCACTATTTTTTTAATCAGGTGCATTTGAAGAATACCCTTGTTTTTTGTTTTTTTTTTAACTGTGCACCAAACCCGATATTTTATCTCGACTCGATCTTCACAACTTCTCCTCGGTTGCACTCCACTTGGAAAGCTAAACAAAGCGAGGAGAGCGCCAAGCAGCATTATGAGGGTCAGTCATGGGYGCTGTGGATGGATGCCAGATAACGTGAGCACGGGCTGAAAGAGTTTAAGACAGACTAAAGGCTGCRGGGTGTGTGTTTGTATGTGTGTGGTTGTCCAAGTGTGTGAAGGAGATGGAAAAATAACAGGATCAGTGTGTAAATGTGCAGGCAAAAAACAGGAATTTGTAAACACTAATTTAGTGTGTGTATGTATGTATATATATATATAT